GCAATACGACTCTCCTTGTGTTGCGTTTAAGTGCAGTTCCTGTCAAAAGCAAAAAGGTGAGGGATTTGTTTATCATTGTTCTACTTGTGAATTTGGCCTTGACATACAGTGTGCTCTGCTACCAAAATTGATTATTGGAGATTTCCCTAAACTTATACATTTTAGCCATCAGCATCCACTCTGTTTCATTGAAAAGCATTACATTGAAAGTGCAGATCAGTCTTGTTTTGCATGTGAAGATCCGATATCAGGTCCTATTTATTGTTGTTTTGATTGTCTATTTTTCCTTCATAAAAAAAGCGCTGAGCTATCTTCTGTGATAAATCTACCTAGCCACTGCAAACACTCTCTTACTCTTCGGCACAGTCCTCCACCTCCCAGCCACTCCAAACACTCTCTTGCACTTCTTGCCAATTATCCACATGAAAAGGACTGTTCTTGCCATTTATGCAACAAACTCCCAAAGGGATTTTTTTATTATTGTTCTCCTTGCGAGTTCAGCATTCCGATCAAATATACTTTCTTACATTTATTTGCAGAAAAGACTCATGAACATCCATTCACTTTCCTACCAAGGCCAATGTCATTCATCTGTGATGCATGTGGTACTTGTGGGGAGTATTGCATGCCTTACATATGCACCATATGTAATCTTGTAGTGCATAAGGATTGTATTTCCCTTCTACATGCCATCAAGTTAAGAAGGCATGAACACTCTGTTTCCCATATTTATTTCCTCGAAGAAAATGAAGTAAGAAAGAGGATCTGCAGAATTTACCGGAGAGAAGTGAATATGGAATATGGGAGCTACCGTTGCTTAGATTGTGATTACTTTGTTCATGTGAATTGTGCAAGAGACAAAGATCTTTGGGACTATGAGATTTTTGAGGTGGAAGAAGAAAATCAGAAGTCCAGAGAAACCTTAGGAGAAGGAGTAATTAAAAACTTCAGCCATGACCACAAGTTGCTACTAAGTGACAAGATGAAAAATTGTGAGTATTATTGTGACGGTTGCAGGAGACCAATCTCAACTGCATTTTACCATTGTGGTGAATGTAATTACTTCCTTCATGAATGTTGTACCGAATTACGTAGAAAGAAGAAACACTGGAGCGTTGAGAAAACTCGAACTCTCAACTTTGAACACATTTTTTGGTGTTATTTTTGTGGGTTTTATTGCAGTGGGTTTTGCTATGTCAGTGATGATGACAGATCACCAAGTATCTGCATTAGATGCTTTGAAATTCCAGACTACTACCTTGCTCATGGGCACGAGCACCATCTTTTCTTTGACCACAAGTTGAGAAGGGAGTGTACCATCTGTAATGAAAAATATGGAAAGTTCAGGTGTGAAGAAGATCATTGTGAATTTGTTTTGTGTAGCGGATGTATTGCGCTACCAGAGACAGCCTGGTACAAGCATGATGGATACAAGCATGACGAACATCCTCTTGCACTCACTTACTATGATGATGTTCATGATTCGTATCAATGGTTTTGTGACATATGTGAAGAACCAAGAGATCCAAAAAAGTGGTTTTATTACTGCGCAACTTGTGATTATTCTTGCCATCCCCTTTGTGCTCTCGGGAAGTACCCTTGTGTGAAGTTGGGGTCACCTGCCAAGCTTGCAATTCATGAACACCCTCTCACTTTCATGAAGGACAATCTTGGCTATCACAAATGCAGTACTTGCGGCAAGAGTTGCAAAGATGCGTTCCTCAAATGTGTAGAGTCAGAATGCAAGTATGTTGTCCACTATTTATGTCAATAGTTTCTGCTCCACATGTATAGACGTTGGCTGTTAAGAATTGACAGTGATATTGCTCTTTGATATTGATGGGATGGAGATGTCACTTATGGAATGTAACGTTACTGGACCCTTGCATTTGTTTCTCCTTGATCGGTGCTCTTAACTTGATTGCTGGTTTGCTTGATTTCTGTATTAATGATTTCAGCATTCATAGTTTCCTTGTTTGCTTTCTTGCCTGATTTTTGTATAGTTTCCGTGCTTGCTTTATTGCCAGACTTCTGTATTTATGATTTCAGCATTCATAGTTTCCTTATTTGTCTGCTTTTTTTTTTTTTTTTTTCGCATCTGCCAATTGCGTGCTTATCATCATGGATCATCTTTCAGTGGCCTCTGTTCTTTTTTTTTATTATTATTATTACAGTAGGGTATTTTTAGAGTACTTTTTACGCATTTTAATATTAATATCTCTCTAGGTGATCTTAACACTACACCTACACCTGCATATTAATATGATATATTTAAAGAATTTAATTTTTTTAGATATTAATTTAAAACTTAAATTTAACTTAAAAGGTAATATTTATTTATTAATAAATTTAAATATAATACTTTGATTTCAGTGGCCACTGTTAAATGATGCAAGTGATTTTTCCTTTTTCTTTCCTTCTTTTTTGGGAACATAAATTTCTTAATTAAGAACGGTAAAAATATGTGATTAATTAGTACCCCAAATTAATGGTGAAGGAAATGAACCCAAATCACGATCTAGGATATTAGTAAAGAAATCAGGTGAGAACCTTCTCTTTTCCCTCATTGTTGTTGTTGAATCGAGTTGGCGAAGGGAGAAGAAGAACAGAGGGTTGGAGATCGAAGGGATGAAGACAGAGGAATGAAACTATGAAAGGGAGAAAGAGAGAGGAGAGAGAACATATGTGAAGTTGAAGATGAAGGTGAATGTGTAAATTCAAATAATTCATTTTAAATTGTTTGTTTTGTTTGATTAAATAGTGGGCCAAAATTTTGGTTTACGAGTATTTTATTTGTTAGACGGCTATTTTAATTTCGAGGTCAATGCCATGTGACAAAAATTGGCGCTCGTAATTGTAAGTCATCGAGATTAAACGGGAGAAGATGACGTGTGTCTATATTATCGTTATATCTTGATTAATTTATTTAATTTAAATAATAAGTGAGATAATTTATTTTTTTTAAAACATGCGAAATTGAGGAAAAAGGAGATAATACAGCTGTTATTATAACAGATAAAACTTTGACATTTGTTAAGAGTTGGATACACCTTATCAAACGGCTAAAGTTGCAAGTGCAGTGAGATAATTAATTTAACATCAAATTACCTGAATTGATAAATACAGATAAAATAGAGGTGTCATTTCAATAAGCTTGTAAAATAGAAGAGCCAAAATGTCATTTTCACCCATTACTTTATTGTATGTTTGGCAAGTGGTGGTGGTTGTATACTTATAATATCATGTATATGTTTATCAAAGTTTAAAACCTTGGGGACTCAAAAGGAGAAAACTAACAAAATGGTGTATTCAAGTAAGATCACAATTGGTGCATTTTTTAATTCAACACATTTTACAATATATTTATTAAAAAAATTATTATTTTTAAATTTAAATTTAAGGTGAAAAACTTTTATTTGCAAAATTTAATAGTTAAACTAATAAGTGTTTGTAAGTGCGTTAAATTGGAGGGTATAGCAATCATTGCCCATTCAAGTAACATATTTGAGATATCAAATGAGTTACATGTCACCTAGTCTTTATATAAGTTTAAAGGGTAAACAATACATAAAAATAATCAATTATATTTAAATATAGAGTAAGTAAACTTATACATAAATTTTATATATTATATTTATACAAAATTTTAACAATTCATCTCTTTACTTTTAATTGTTGAGATTTATTTATTTATTATCATATTTATTAAAGATAATTATCTTTTTCATCTAAAAAGTTATAATAAATCTCAATTATTAAAAGTAGAGTAATGAATAGCCAAGATTTTATATAAATGTATTGTGTAAGACTTATATATAAGTAGATTTTTACTCTAAAATATCCTAAACATGATCTATTTATTAATTCATGAATCAAATATATTATTTGATTATTTTAAAGTTGAGTTAATTAGGATTCACTTTTATACAACTCTTACATTTATTGCACCTCTTTTTAATTAATTGTATAGAAAAACACAAAAACTAACTTCATTTTCAACGTCAATAACATGCATAATTTTAATAAGTAGCTGATAAAATTAAAGTTAAATCTTTTTTTTTTCATGATAATTATTGAAGAAAAAAGTGCAATTAATGCACTATTAAGGTACATATATGAAGAGGGAAAAAAATGACAAATGTATGATACAGGGATAAATATAATAATAAATTGTAATAGAGGAAGCTAAGAAATTGAGTGACAAGAAAAATTAACTAGAAGTGAAGTAAAGGTAAGTGAGAATGTATCAAAGAGCAATTGTAATAAGCTGCATCTTTTATGTTTTTATTTAAAAATTTTTTAATATAGACAACAAGAAAGAAAATTTGGGGTAGAAACAAGTAAATATGTAATGATAGATAATAATGCCACTAATGACTAAAGAAGGACAATAAAGTAGGGATTGATAAGGGAAGAAAGATTCATAAAAAATGTAAATTATTGATCTTTAGAGTTAAGAGAGGGTGAATGTAGGGTAAAAAGATAAATATAAAGATAAAACATTGAGTAAAAAGTTGAAAGATTGAGTAGTAGAAAAAATTAGTAATAAAAGAAATTGAGTAAAGGTAAGTGAAAAAAAAATAGAGAATAATATTAAGAAATTGTGCCACCAATGTTTTAGCCAAAATCATTTGCAATATAGACAATGAGAGAGAGTGGAAGGGTAAATCACATATATATAATCATACATGGAGATACCCCAATGGGTGGCTCAACTAGTTAAGAATTGTTTGAGATTTAAAGTTAGAAAACTTAGGTTTCAAACTTTTGAGTCAGAGGGCTATCCCCCTCTTATATAGCCAATCATTAGATGTCCAAAAAAATGATAGATGGAGATGCAAAGAGTGGTTAAGAAAAAATAGTATAAAAGGAAAGATAAAAGAGAGGAAAGAATAATAACAGACAAATTATTAATGTAGAGAGGGAAAGTGAAGGCGAGTGTGGAGTAAAGAGATGAATGTAATGATAAAATGTGAGGAATGATACGAATCTCAAAGATTGCAATGAGACCCACACACAAAACAAGGAAATTTGAACCTGTAAGGAAAGCCAAATCAAATTTATCAAAGACAAATCTTGATATGTTGTTTATATCAAAACAAGAACTAAAGGTATAAAGGAATTTTAATGCCACACTCAAGAATGATTAAGAACGAGAGTGATAAGTCAGATTAAAATGCTACAACAACAATCTTGATAAATTCTATAAGTTCACAAATGAACTAAACAGAAAAGTTCCTCAAATAATCTTTGAATTAATAACAATCCTCAATTAGAGTTACAAGTCTTAAATAGCTAAATTAGTCCAAATCAAAATAGAAAATTAGATTCTAGGCACAAATCCAATTAAAAATAAGATTGAATATGTGCTATTCCTAATAAAATATGAACTGGGCTTCAATTAAAACAATTTCCTACCCAAATAACTCAAAAAAAAAAAAAAAAGCAAAACTAACTAAAAAGCAAAACTAACTAAAAATAACTTTAAAATCATGCAAAATATCTTAAACGACAACATGGATGTTGAATCCAAAACCATGGAAGATACTGCTCTTAAAAGTATTGGGGTCCATAGTTTATGTGATACATGTGCTGGTCATACACATGCCCTCTAACAAGTAATGAAAATCGTTCAAAGAGAACAAGTAAGTGTAGATGTGGCAAACCTTCAAGACCTCCTTCGTTGTTGCCTCCTCACAAAACTGGCCTGCAAAGCCCCGAGGGTGATCCTCGGGGTAGACACTCCGATGCCTAAGTTAGTAATAATTTGGTTTACACTTTCAATGAGAATCTTGAAAGAGTTCTTTTTCTGGTTTTTCTATCATACCTCTTTGGAGCCATGTGTGGACTTATCTTTATATCTTGACCGAGCATCCACGTGGCTTTCTTAATCATCATAATTGTGACATGATGTGTCTGACGAGGCAGGTGTCTTTGGTGGACGTAACATGTCTTAACGGAGCAACCGCATTAAATGAACGTGGCGTATTCTAACGGAGTAGGTCTCTCATAGACAAAGGATTAGGTGAGGATTGATGGTTGAGTGCAAGCGTCCTCATCGTAATCACCGTGCAACTGTGGTACTGTGGCAGAACATTGAGCTCTGCCTTGGCACTGTGACAGAGCATCGAGATCTGTCTTACCCTTACACTATTCCCCCCCCCCCCAAAGTCATTCACTTGTGAATGATTAGGAGTGTTGTTTTTGGTTGGTGTGGAAATGTAATTTGGCTGTAGTGGAGATGTAGTTTTGGCTGTAGTCGAGGTGAAAATGCATGACATGTAGTCAAGTGTTTTGGTTATAATCGAGGTAAAAATGCATGACACATAGTCAAGTGTTTTGGCCATAGCCGAGGTGAAAATGCATGACATGTGTTATGTGTTTTGGTCGTAGCCATGGTAAAAATGCATGACACATGGTCATGTGTTTTGGCAGTAGCCGAGGTGAAAATGCATGACACGTAGTCATGTGTTTTGGCCGCAGCCGAGGTAAAAATGCATGACACATAGTCAAGTGTTTTGGCCATAACCAAGGTAAAAATGCATGACATGGGGTCATGTGTTTTGGTCGTAGCTGAGGTGAAAACACATGACTCACGGTCATGTGTTTTGATCGCAGCCGAGGTAAAAATGCATGACACGTGGTCATGTGTTTTGGCCGTAGTCGTGGTAAAAATGCATGACACGTAGTCAAGTGTTTTGGCCATAGCAGAGATAAAAATAAATGACACGTAGTCATCATAGAGGTGGGAGGTGGGATACTTGTATAAATGTGTTTGAGGGAACTTAACATATCTAAAGGAACTTAAGATGGGCTCCTATGGGCCCATTTACTAAGCCCTGGAGAGAGCTCGTATGCCAGGTGATAGCTGTCATTAAAGGGCATGCAGTAATAAATGAGGGCTATAGAAATTAACCGTCACATTCGAAAAGACACGACGGGAAGTTAAACGATGAATTCGAAAGGGTGAAGTTATAACCGTTTAAGGATATATATATCCACATGCAAAGCGAAATTGGGTCACCTTGCTTCTAACACTGTACAAGTTTTCAAATTTGCCCTACTTTGTTCTATTTCAATCTAACGAAATCAGGTAATCTGTGGGTGTCTTTCTACGTTTTTTATTTTTACCAAAGTAGCGAAAATGTCTTCTGAAGAGACGGTTAGTGTTGAGGGGATTAGGGAGAGGTTTGAGCGAGAGGAGGAGAGGTTTGTTCCTCAGAATATCCTAAAGAGGGACAATGGGCAGGATGGGTGTTTCAATCCTGAGGAGGAGGTTGTTTCTAAGGTAATGGAATATGAGACGTCCCTTAAGAGTAGAGGGAGTCTAATATATTTGGTTGAAAATTATGGGGTGCTTGAGCAAGTATTGTTAAGGCCAGCAGGAAGGAAGGAGAAGACTTGTTCTACTTGGGGAACCACTGGATGCCCATGTCTGCTCATTATTTGGCTGTTGGGCTACGGTTCCTTATTCTAGAGTTGCTGGTGTGGGTTTTGATGGGTAATAACATAGGGCTAACGCAGCTCATTCCGAACGCTATGCTGCTAGTGATAGCATTCACGGTGTATAGCCGAGGTCGGGGGTTACCATTCCTCACCGCAAATGTATTCAAATACTTTTATGTGTTGAAGGCTGGGAGCGATAGGGAGAGGGGGTGGTATTATTTCACTGGCCGAGTGGTGAACAGGGAGAACAGGGGTTGTTTAGTGCTGGACCATCTTCCATCAAATGATGGAAACACAATTTCTTTTTTGTGGATGACACGGAGTGGGACAAGACTGACGCCGAGGTGGAGTTGCTAAGCAGGTGGAGGGGGAAAGGAGTAAATCCCAATAAGTATAGTCTAACTCCTGGGGAGATGGAAGATGTGAGGGCATTGGAGAGAGGAGGTGAAGATGTATTAGACATTTTGCAGTATACAAGTCAGAAGATGTTGGATGCTTCTGAAATCTATGGGTCGAGCTCACAGAGCGGAGGTGTGTTATTTAACTATTATGTTTCATATAAGAGTTTTGACCAGTGTTTTAACTTTGCTTTGTTTTGTAGGCGAGATGAACAAATTTTTGGATACGACTGGTGAGGTTGGGATCCCTAAGAAGAAAAGCAAAGTAGCAAGGGTTACTGCAGAGGTGGGAGGAAGAGATGGTAGGAGCACTACACACTCTGTTGAAACTCTTTGCTCTGGTTGTCTCTCAACCAAAGAGTGTGGAGGTTGAGAGTACGAAAGCGACTAAGGAGGAGGGTCCAATGGCTGCCAAGAAGAGAAGGATAGAACAGTAGGAGCAAGAGTCTGGGGGAGAAGTAGAATTCGTCCCTTCTCCTACTGAAGTTGAGGCAACGGTTCCCATCTTAGAAGTTCCTCTAGGTGGGGACGAGGGTTACATTCGTGCCCCCATGTCAAGCTACTATGAACTCGGCATAAGAAGCATAGCGAAGAGTTTCATCAATACCTATTTCCTAGAGGTGGACCATCAGCGGGCCAAGGATAAGGTGGCCGCATGAGGGGGAGTTGGTATTGTGCGTCATGTTCTTGAGGTAAAAGTTTTAATTTTGTTAAGCTTCAAATTTGGTCTCGGCTTGCATTTATTGACTTTGGCTTATTGTGTAGGCTGCAAACCTCGTCAATGCTCTGTCAAACGAGTTCTTTGATAGCTTGATGGACAAGACCCGATTATAGGCTAAGAATAATGAGCACATCTAGAGAAATGAGGAAGCCGAGGTTGCTTTCCGAGATGAATAAGCTTAAAGAAGAGAATGCCATTTTGAAGCAAGACTCGGAGAACTCGTACCAAAAAAGAAAGATTTGCGAGGACGAGCTCGAGAAAACGGAAAAAGAATTAGATGAAGTAAGGAAGGCGGCATATGAGCTGGAGCTTCAAGTACACAACTTTGCTGAGGCACACATAGTAGAGTTCTTGAAGTCAAACACCTTCGACAACATCGTCAACTTGTACCGGCTTTTGACTGTGATTGTTGCCTTCTCCGATTGCTAGAAGAAAGTAAAGTTGTAGTACCTTGAGGTCGATGTGACGAAAGTCACATTCGAAGATCAGGAGGGAGAGGTCGAGGAAAATGGAGAAAGCAACATTGCTGACTTTCGACCTGAGATCGGATTGAAGTGGGATCAAGACAGCCAAGGTTGGACCATTTTTCCACCGAACTTCGACTTCAAGTCGTGCCTATACATGAAGAAAGTGGGGGTGCTAACAAGCTAGATCAACCTACTAAATGACTTTCCTCGTCCATGTTGTAAATAATAAGTGTATAAACTTTGATTTAATGAAATTTAAATTTCATTTTTCATATGGTTTCGTGATGTCTGAGAAAAATTGAATAATTACAATAGAATTCATAAGCATAACGTAGATAATTAGTTCTATCTTGGACTTAATTAGAACATCAAATAGCATGAGAGAATAATGTTTGACATGTGGATTGAATTAACTCTAGACTGTTATGGGTAAAACTTTTTGAGGTTATCGATATTCCAGACTTTAGGTACCCTTTTGTCTTCAGAGTTTTGAAGGATATAGACACCGGGGTGGGGGATTTCGGCCACAATGTATGAGCCTTCCCAGTTCGGTCCCAACTTGCAGAAGTGGGTTTCAAACCCTGTGAGCCTGGCCACTGAGGTCAAACTCGCTTGTTGTAAAAGTTGGCAACCTGCTACTTGTATGCAAGCGTCCGAAGTTGAGCTTCTTTGAGGATTTCATCTAGGAAATCAAGATCTTCCCTAAGTAACTACTCATTTTGAGCTACATTGAAATGGCTGACTCTTAGACTCGAGACACCAATTTTGACAGGGATGATTGCCTTGGCGTCAAAAGCCAAGTGGTAGGATGTTTCGCCTAAGAAATTATAGTTTAAGGGTTTACTGTGTAACTTATCTACGACTTCGATTAAGATAATTAAAGGGAAATTAAGGCAAATGGCATACCTGTAGTCGTGCAGCTCATAGTTCGATAAGCTCATGAGACGTTGTTAAGCTCATCTGCCCACTTGGCTTTGAGTTAATCCAATCTTGGCTTGATTCCTTCTAGGATGGCTTTGTTGACTGACTCAACCATTCCATTTGCCTTAGGGTGGTAAACTGAGGTAAATACTAACTTGATCCCATAACTGGAATAAAAATCCCTTAAGGAGGTGCAATTGAACTGAAGGCCATTATCAGCAATGATCTGGTTTGGTATTCCATATCTATAGATGACTGAGCTGAACACAAAATCTTCAATCTTCTTTGAAGTCAAGCTGGAAAGAGGTCGAGCTTCCACCCACTTGGTAAAATAATTAACAACAATGACCAAATGAGTTACTCCCCCTACACTCTTAACAAAAGGACACAAAAGGTCTATACCCCACTGGGCAAAAGGCCATGGTGCGACCATATTAGTAAGTTCTTCAGTTGGTTGATGGGTAAGATGTGCAAAGAACTGGCATTTTTGGTACTTCTGCACAAACAGCTTTGCATCTTGCTGCATGTTTGGCCAATAGTACCCTTACCTGAGTACCTTGTGGGCTAAAGTCCTAGCTTTAACGTGACTTCCACACACGCCCTCATGCACCTCTCTAAGGGCATATTCGGCTTCATACGACATTAAACACCGAAGAAGAGGAAGCGAGTATGACCTTCTATAAAGAACATCATCGATCAAGGTGTATTGGGATGCCTTTCTTTGCAACCTGATTTCTTCTTGTTTATCACTTGGGACGGTTCCATCTCGGAGGTAAGTTTTGATGGGATCTGTCGAGCTAGGAGTTTCAAGGTTGGTGTTGATTTCCATCACCTTGTTCTTTTGAAAACTTAGCTCATTGAGGATTTCGATGTAGACAGATCTTGCCCCTCTTGAGTTGCCATTGCAGAGCCTTGACAAGAAATCTGCTTGTCCATTTTCCACTCTCAAAACCTTAATGAGTTGAAAATTTTCAAAATGGCACTTTAGTTCAGAAACTGTTACCACATACTTTGCTAGGATGGGATCTGTCACCTCACACATGGAGTTCACCTGATTGACTACTAGCTGAGAATGTTGTAGACTTGTAGAGATCTGAGTTTGAGCTTGGTTGCCAAATGGAGTCCTAGGAGTAGTGCCTCATACTCAGCCATATTGTTTATTGCTTCAAAGTTGAACCTCAGTGTGTGTTCACTTCGAAAATTTTGAGGCCCGATTAACATAGCTCCAGCTCCTGACCCCTTACTATTAGATGATCCATCAACATAGAGAGTCCATAACTCAGTCTCTGAGCTTGAGCTCTCCTTGCTAGAAACGCAATCTACTAAAAAGTCTACTAATGCTTGAGCTCAGATTGTGTACCTTTGCTAAAATGTGATTTGGAATTCCCCCAGCTCTACCGTCCACTTGATGAGCCTTCCGGAACATTCTGGGCTTTGTAAAATCTACCTTAAGGGTTGGTCAGTCAGCACAATAATTGGATGGGATTGGAAGTATGGTCTAAGTTTATTGGCTGTAGTAACAACTGCCAGAGCTACTTTTTCTGCAATGGAGTACCTCTACTCGGCACTTTGTAGCACTTTGCTTGCATAGTACACTGGCTTTTGTTGCTTTCCCATTTCTTTTACTAAAATAGAACTGACTATTGCGTTGGATATCCCAAGATAAAGCAAAAGAGTTTCACCTTCTTTAGCCTTGGTCAGCAGAGGTGGCGAACTCAGATAGGCCTTAAGTTCATCGAAGGCTGTTTGACATTCTGTAGTCTATTCAAACTTCTTTGGCTTTCCCGCCTCATCTTTCTAAGCCACAAACCTCAACACTCTGAAGATAAGCCACAGACCTTAACACTCTAAAGAAAGATAAGCATTTGTCTGTGCATTTGGAAATAAATCTATGCAGAGCTGCTACTTCGCCAATTAGGTGCTGTATGTCTTTGATTGACTTCGGCAGCTTCATCTCCCTTATTGCCTTAATCTTCTTAGGATTGACTTCTATCCCCTTTCTAGAAACCATAAATCCCAAGAATTTGTCAGATTCAACACCGAAGACACACTTTGCTGGATTCAACCTCATGCTATACTTCTTTAAATTGTCAAATGTTTCTGCCAGATCTGCTAGGTGATTCTCTTCTTTGAGGCTTTTAACTACTATGTCGTCTATAGAGACTTCCAGATCTCTGCCAATCTGAGCTCAAAATACAATTGTTACCATTTTCTAATATGTGGCCCCTGCATTTTTTAGCCTAAATGGCATCATTACGTAACAGTAAATCTCATCACCTGCATAGAAAGAGATTTTCACCTCGTCTTCTTGTGCCATGTGAACCTGGTGGTACCCTGAGTAAGCATCCAAGAGACTCATTCTCTCATTCCCTGAGGTGGCCTCTACCAGCTTGTCTATACTGGGCATGGGGTAACAATCTTTGGGGCAAGCTTCATTGAGATTGGTGTGGTTGATGCATATCCTCTACTTGCCATTTGACTTCTTTACCAGGACTAGATTAGTGATCCATTCACAATAGTCTACCCTCCTCACAAATCCATCTTGTAAGAGATTTTGCACTTCTTCTCTAATGGCCTTGAGTCTCTCTCCTCCAAATAATCGTCTTTTCTGGGCTATTGGTTTTTTCAAAGGACTGGTGCTTAGTTTATGCACTGCCACTGAGGTTGGAATTCCGGGCATGTCAGCCGAGATCCATGCAAACACATCCTTGTTTGCCTTTAGAAAGCTCATGAGTTCTTCTTTTTCCTTGGGGGTCAACCTTGTCCCAATTTGTGTCTTCTTGGAAGGATCATTATTGTCGATGTGCACCTCTTCCACCTCCTCAACTAGAGTAGCTCTTGGTTCATCTCCGGGTCTATTATCTGGCAACTCTACACCCATTATTTGCTGCGCACTCGGGACTTCTGGCTGGGTTGGCTTTGGTGGTTGGGCTATTTCCTTGTCTCTTCGTGACTTGGTGACAGAGGTCAGATAACAATGTCTGGCTACCTCTTGGTTGCCTTTCAGGGTTTCTATTCTCATAAGTGTGGGGAACTTCATGTAGAGGTGGGATTGGATATGATAGCTCGGATCTTGGTCAGGGTGGATCTCCCAACAACAATATTGAAAGATGAAGCCATTTTTACAACCAGGAATTGAACTGAGAGGGTTACATATGTCCGACCGGAGCCAAAAGTCACGTTGAATCGTAGCACCCCTTCCATGGGAACTAGCTGATTATTGAATCTGTAGATGGGCTCGTCGTACTTCTGTAGAAGGGCGGGGTCAAGTTCGAGGCTCTCAAAGCAATGATAGTACATTATGTCTGGAGCACTTCCGGTGTCAACAAGGACACGTTGGACTTCGCAATTATTGAGGATGACTGAAGTGACCAATGGGTCATTATGTGGCGTGACAACCCAATAAAGGTCGGTTGCTGTGAATGTTATGGGCTGATTTCTCAATTCTTCATCGTCAATCTTCCTTTTCTGAGCTTGGTTATGGTACTTGACCTCTCTTACGTACAGCTTCTACTGTTTGGAGCTCGTTCCTCCTACTTCAAGCCCGCTAGTTATCATATGAATGATCCTGAATGTGGGGTGGGAGAGGTGGTGGTGCTTTCTAGTATCCCACTCCTTCCTTGTTATTTGAGGTTAGAGACCCCTAAGCTTATTGTCCCTACTTCTTGACGAACTTCTACAAATCTCTGTTCTGAATGTACTCGTTCAACATTCCTTTCTAAGCTACACCTTTCAGCTCAAACTTTAGAATGTGGCATTCTTCTGCAGTATGGCCATGGTCTTGATGAAAGTCACAGTATTTATTGTGATCCCTCGTGGCAGCTAGGCTCCGCATAGGCGTTGGCCTTTTCAACTCCATTTGTTTTTTATTTGCATGAAACTTTGTGACCTTAGCATTGCAAACGGGGTCCATGAAGCGTATCTAGCCTATGCTTGCGGTGTGCATGAGTTGGGCCTGTTGAGCTTAGGAACTGGAATTGGGCCTCGATTCTGTGTGGGTTTGAACTTCTTCTTGCTCTACCTTTCTTCTTTCCACATCGAGGTTTTGGCTTCTTTAGGGGGTGGGGGTTTAGACAGAACATACTCCTCAGCTTTGATGAACTTGAGAGATCTCTCGTTGACCTCATCAAAGGTGGTCGGTGTGTGCTTAATCAAATTGTCTTGAAGCCAATCATGGTTGAGACCTTGTATCATGGCCACTATCCCCACTGCTTCATCAAATGAGCTGATTTCCAGCATATCATCATTGAATCTGTTCATGCAGTTCTTCAAAGACTCGCCTTCTCTTTGGATTACTCGCATAAGCTCAGGTGTTGTTTTTTCGATTAGTCTTCAACTTGAGAATTTGGTGGTGAAGGCCAGTGCCAGCTTGGCGTATGAACTGATTGAGTTCAGACGTAAAGTATGATACCAAGTCTGGGCATTGTCGCGCAATGTGGAGGGAAACATCTTGCACATTAAAGGTGTTTAAGGCATTCTGAGCTTGCATGATGGAGTAAAATGCATGCAACTGATCGTCGGGGTATTTGGTCCCATCATATGTCTCAAACTGTGGCATTTTGAATCCAAATGGGTATGGTTCTTAAGTGATTTTACTGTTAAAGGGGGTAGGAATTGAGGCCGAGATAGGTGGAATTAATGGTTGTGCATTCTTGTTCTCAGCTAGCAGTTTTTCTATGTTATCTAGCCTCTTAGAGACATCTTAGGCGCTTGGTTGAGGCGGTTTGGGGGTAAGGATGGGATGTGTGACTGTGCTTGGGAGCCGCTTCTGGATGGGGCAGCATTATGGGCTGGAGAATTGGCAGACTGTTGGGCTGGGTGGGGGATTATGGGATGGGCTGGGTTTAGTAAATTGATGAGTGGGTCAGTGGGATTATCTCTGGTTAGCAGCTGTGCGAGTACTAGCTGGAATACTCTGAACTGTTGCTGCATTGTATTAAGTTGAGCAGTTACAGGGTCATTTGTGGCAACATCTAGGTGCTATGGATTGTGTTCCTTAGTTCCCTCCACCTGCTGATGTTAGGTAGCCATAAGCGGCACGTTTTGAGGTATGGGATTAACATTTGAACGCTAGCCTCTTCCTTGACCTGGGGTGTGCTCCCATGTTGGGTCATACATGTGTGTACCATCTTAGTCTTTGGTGATGGCTTTTTGCTCAGTTTCCCACAGACGGCACCAATGTAGATGCAGGAAACCTTCAAAACCTCCTTCGTTGTTGTCTTCTCACAAAACTGGCCTGTAAAGCCCTGAGGATGATCCTCGAGATAAACACTCTGATGTCTAAGTTAGCAATAAGCTGGTCTACACTCTCAATGAGAATCTTGAAAGAGTTCTTTTTCTGGTTTTTCTATCATACCTTTTTGGAGCCATACGTGGACGTATTTGTATATCTTGACCGAGCATCCACGTGGCTTTCTTAATCATCATAATCGTGACATGATGTGTCTGACAGGGCAAGCGTCTTTGGTGGACGTAACTTGCCTTAACAAAGCAACCGCATTAAATGAACGTGGCATATTCTGACGGAGTAGGTCTCTTGTAGCCGGAGGATTAGGTGAGGACTGATGATCGAGTGCAAGCGTCCTCATCGTAATCACTGTGCAACTATGGTACTGTGGCAGAACACTGAGCTCTGGCCTAGCACTGTGATAGAGCAACGAGCTCTGTCCTGCCCTTACAGAAAGATCATTGAAATATGTTCCACTTTAGCAGATAAAATTAGTGAACAAGCATATAAATTGTGATTTAATGAAGTATATCAACAACTATGAACCATAGCTCTTCCTCAAGAAGAAATTGCTACAATAAAAGCAATCATATTACTTAATCATCATGTAAGGAAACTAAGACTGATATCAATTTGACCCAAGGAAGCTAACAGTGATTAGTTTATAAAAGAAACTCTCACACAACAGAAAGCCTTGTGTACGTTCATATTCCTACATCCTATCAACCACATCATCCCATAGTGCTAATGCTGAACCATAGAAACTTATAATTCGAAGGACTGACTAAAAAACAAATCACATAATCCAATATTTCCTCACTCTCGTATGATTTTGCATACATTTGCTCAAAAAGGACAATTTAGCATATAATTTGTATGCCTACACGTAGGAGCTTGGCTGCTGGTTCTCTTCATACTGAATTTAGTTTGAAAAACTATTGGCATTATAAGCTTTCAAGGAAAATTCAAATTCAAATATGCATCCAAAGAAGTGCTATCCCATCCCACCCAAAACCTAAAAATTTACAACTCAAAAGGAATAAGAATTTTCTAATATTTTTCATGTGAAAGCAGTAAAGAATTGAAGTACCTAAAGATGGTCTTGAGATAAATGATTGCAACCATTCCACAACTTCCCCTCTGGCTCTCCACTTCATGACCTGGGAGCCATAGGTCTGCGAGAACTCGCCTGTAACAACATGCATCATGTGCCTTATGCTCCTCTCAGTACCAATGACTGCAAGCACTAAATTCCCTGTGGCATCCTTCAAGTAGAAGTGTACCACACGACTACCACGGTCTGGACATATAATGTCCTCCTCCCAAGCCACAAAACTAGAATTATTTGCAGACATTCTGATGTAAAAACAATGCCTTGAAGAGTTCAAAAGCACTGTTCTTTCACATGAATACAAACTTAAATAAACCCTTTAACATGTCAATCTGCCCCACAGACCGGTTGTCTAAACAACCAACAAATTCTGCCCAGTTCAAAAACCCCAAGATGGTCCCAGGGTCCTGAGAGAAACCCCAAGGAACACAGAGATTAGGAAACACCCACTTGGGGTGAAGGTGAACATGATTGATTCAATAAAAAAAAAGAGGAAAAGATCCAAAATTTATGATTTTGAAGGATTTTGTGCTTTTATCAGGAACGAAGAGAGTCGAAGAAAACCGTATAGAAGAAGGGAAAAACAAAAGTCGAGGGTGTTGAGAACCAAAACCCCGGAGGATTATTAGAAAAAAGAGAAAACGACAGGGTACACCCACCCTTCTAGCTTACCAGCTTGAAAACCCCATAAAGTTGAGGCTCTGAATGAAAGACGCAGATAGCATTAACAGATAAACAGGGAAATGAACAAGATATAATCAGCAACCCGGAACCATGCAAAGCAAAACTAAAATACTCCCAAAAGAAAAAAATATATAACAAATTAACAACAAAGTGAGTCAAAATCCAAAGAATGCCCTGACGGTTGGGGGTGCAGAAATTGTTCCAAACGTCTAGTATTGGGCACCTGACGGTTTTGTTTTTGATGTGGTTTTTAGGCTTTGTCAAATTCTGGTTGTAAGGAGCTTCGCTCTCATCAGATGTGAGTACCAAATGTTGTATATGGATAGAAGTACCCTTGTGCTTCATTAAATAAAAAAGTATTATTTGGCTGATAAAAAAAAAAAATCCAAAGAATGCCAGGAAAACTAGTGGAGAAGAAAAGAAAAGAGAAAACTTTTGGTTGTGTGGTATGTTTCTTGGGGTCTCTCTGACTGAACTTGTGGGGGAATTGCAGATGGCAGTGGGGGGCTAAGGAGGACATTAACATAACAGCCGCTCCTGCTCCGGAAGAAAGCGGAGAGGGCAAAATAGATATTTTCTATGGGAGTGCTGGGCTCTGTAGCTCTAGCGGTAGCTTTTTTTTAATATTTTAAAAATATGACATAAATTAGTCCCAATTTTAATGTGACATGAAATCTGAAATTAAAAATCTTATATTTAATTTAGGGTTGGTAGGAGATTAGGAGGAGTTAAAAAAATGTTATTTTTTATAAAATTTATTTTTAAATATATTAAAGAAATTTAAAAACATATAAAATATATTTAAAATTAGTCCCAATTTTAATGTGACATGAAATCTGAAATTAAAAATCTTATATTTAATTTAGGGTTGGTAGGAGATTAGGAGGAGTTAAAAAAAT